ATCCGGCATAGTGTTTTACGTATAGTGTTAAACACATATATAGACACATTACAATATATATTGCAATGTGTCTATGCTCTTAAAATAAAGTGATAAAGTCTAATCTATTCCAAACTGATTGACAGTTACAAGCGTGCAGTTGAAATCCAGTGGCCTCATTAGCAGCCTCTTATGTGTAAGAACATCGTCATGGAACAAAGTCAGAACACTGTTTAAATCACTGGTCACTGGAGTCGGTTGTATACGAAAGTCGGACAGGGCTATCCCCCCGATTTCCCCCCCCCCCCCCAGACCTAAATAAAGAGATACCTCCGAATATACGTACTTTGAACTTGCTTCATCGTCGTCCATTACAGCTCCATAAGCTCCTTTCTTTAAAAGATCTTCAATTTCTTTCTTCGACAACGTTTGTTGCTGGACAGACAAATTATTATATATTATATTATATTATAATAGTAATTATGTTTATATATAATATTTATACATTTGTACTTAGTAGGCGAAGAGCCACCCTGTGGATGAACTGCTAATAAAGCCATTAAAAAAAAGGTTGTGGAGTGTAAATCGACCTTAAACCATCACTTACATTCTGTCCACTAGCGTTGGCAGTTCCGTCTTTGGAATTCATTGATTGCAGCACAGCTTTGTCCAAGCCAAGCTTCAAACTAGCTCGATCAAACATTTCTCTCTCGTAGGAATTCCTGGTTATCAATCTGTACACTTTCACAGATTTATCCTGCCCGATACGATGACACCTAGCCAAGAAGAAAGATTTCTAAGACTAAGAATGATATTATAAGCAAAACAAATTCTCTCACCGGAGGTACTTGTTTACAGTAAGTTTGCAAGTGTATTCACATTTGGGCCGAAAATGGCAGCAATTTCCGCACCCAATACGAGAGTACACAAAATTTGCAAACTTTGCAAGGCTATATATCCCCAATTTGCAATTTTACTCATTTTAGTATGTTCTTTCTAGTTGTGCTGATTTATTTGCATCTTCTTGCTTAGTTTTAAAATTAGTCTATAATGGGAATTGTCTATTGGCAAGTTCGCAACAAACTTGGGAGCCCCGCGTTCAAAAGTGACATGAAATCGACAGTAAAATACATAAAGTCAATACAAATATTCATACCTTGCTTGCGCCTGTAAGTCGTTCTGAGGGTTCCAGTCTGAATCAAATATGATGACGGTGTCAGCGGCTGTCAGGTTAATCCCCAGACCTCCTGCACGAGTACACAGTAAGAAGACGAAGCGATCCGAGTCGGGTTTCGAGAAGCGATCTATAGCTGCTTGACGTAGATTGCCTCGCACTCGTCCATCGATTCTTTCAAACAGGTATTTCTTACAAATAAGATAGTCCTCCAGGATATCCAAACATCGCACCATTTGGGAAAATACTAACACCTGGCATAAGCAAAAATAAATGTGAGCACTGTGAGTACAAAGGTATGCCGAGAACAGGCATACTTTACAGCCACAAACGGCAACAAATGCGAGAGAGTACCCGGAGAAATGCGGAGAGAACAGTTTAGAGCTGATAGGGCTATCCAGTACAGTTGTCAAGCTCTAACCAACTCAGCTACAGAGAGGCAATTGTCAAGCTCTAACCAACTGAGCTACAGAGACAGTTGTCATGCTCTAACCAACTGAGCTTCAGAGACAGTTGTCGCACTCTAACCAACTGAGCTACAGAGAGACAGTTGTCGAGCTCTAACCAACTGAGCTACAGAGAGACAGTTGTCGCACTCTAACCAACTGAGCTACAGAGAGACAGTTGTCGAGCTCTAACCAACTGAGCTACAGAGAGACAGTTGTCGAGCTCTAACCAACTGAGCTACAGAGAGACAGTTGTCGAGCTCTAACCAACTGAGCTACAGAAAGACAGTTGTCGAGCTCTAACCAGCTGAGCTACAGAGAGACAGTTGTCGAGCTCTAACCAGCTGAGCTACAGAGAGACAGTTGTCGAACTCTAACCAGCTGAGCTACAGAGAGACAGTTGTCGAGCTCTAACCAGCTGAGCTACAGAGAGACAGTTGTCGAGCTCTAACCAGCTGAGCTACAGAGAGACAGTTGTCCAGCTCTAACCAACTGAGCTACAGAGAGACAGTTGTCGAGCTCTAACCAGCTGAGCTACAGAGAGACAGTTGTCGAGCTCTAACCAGCTGAGCTACAGAGAGACAGTTGTCCAGCTCTAACCAGCTGAGCTACAGAGAGACAGTTGTCGAGCTCTAACCAGCTGAGCTACAGAGAGACAGTTGTCGAGCTCTAACCAGCTGAGCTACAGAGAGACAGTTGTCGAGCTCTAACCAGCTGAGCTACAGAGAGACAGTTGTCGAGCTCTAACCAACTGAGCTACAGAGAGACAGTTGTTGAGCTCTAACCAACTGAGCTACAGAGAGACAGTTGTCGAGCTCTAACCAACTGAGCTACAGAGAGACAGTTGTCGAGCTCTAACCAACTGAGCCACAGAGGCCAGTTGTCGAGCTCTAACCAACTGAGCTACAGAGAGACAGTTGTCGAGCTCTAACCAACTGAGCTACAGAGGCCAGTTGTCGAGCTCTAACCAACTGAGCTACAGAGAGACAGTTGTCGAGCTCTAACCAACTGAGCTACAGAGAGACAGTTGTCAAGCTCTAACCAACTGAGCTACAGAGAGACAGTTGTCGAGCTCTAACCAACTGAGTTACAGAGAGACAGTCGTCGAGCTCTAACCAACTGAGCTACAGAGAGACAGTTGTCAAGCTCTAACCAACTGAGCTACAGAGAGACAGTTGTCGAGCTCTAACCAACTGAGCTACAGAGAGACAGTTGTCGAGCTCTAACCAACTGAGCTACAGAGGCCAGTTGTCAAGCTCTAACCAACTGAGCTACAGAGGCCAGTTGTCAAGCTCTAACCAACTGAGCTACAGAGGCCAGTTGTCAAGCTCTAACCAACTGAGCTACAGAAGCCAGTTGTCAAGCTCTAACCAACTGAGCTACAGAGGCCAGTTGTCAAGCTCTAACCAACTGAGCTACAGAGGCCAGTTGTCAAGCTCTAACCAACTGAGCTACAGAGAGACAGTTGTCAAGCTCTAACCAACTGAGCTACAGAGAGACAGTTGTCAAGCTCTAACCAACTGAGCTACAGAGAGACAGTTGTCAAGCTCTAACCAACTGAGCAACAGAGAGACAGTTGTCAAGCTCTAATCAACTGAGCTACAGAGAGACAGTTGTCGAGCTCTAACCAACTGAGCTACAGAGAGACAGTTGTCAAGCTCTAACCAACTGAGCTACAGAGTCCAGTTGTCAAGCTCTAAAGTGGTTACATTTCTTCTGTGAAGTCAAAATTCACGAGGGGCATTTCACTCCAGAAATCCCGTACACTTCGTCAAAAAATCCGAACAAATCCGAAAATCCAACAAATTTTCTCTTCAAAAATCCGCTATAAATCCGGAAAAAATCCGCTAAATCCGTTAAAAAATCCAAAAATTTTTAAAAATCCGAAAATCCCGTAGACTTCGTCAAAAAATCCGGAAAATCCAAACAAATCCGGAAAATCCAACTGATTTTCTCTTCAAAAATCCGCTAAAAAATCCGGGAAAAATCCGCGGATTTTTAAAAATCTGAAAATCCCGTACGCTTTTTTGGAGTGAAATGCCCCTCGAAAATTCAGATGTGTGCGATTAAACGTAGGTGGTTGTCCTTCAGTAGCATTGTGTTTCATGAAAGGTTGTTCACAATTGAGGCCAATGAGCTACTGTTTGAAACGGCTAGTATATAAAATGTATTTGAAATTACAACATTTTAAGATCCTAATGAGTAATGTTGTAATTTCAAATACATTTTATATACTAGCCGTTTTAAACAGTAGCTCATTGGCCTCAATTGAACAACCTTTCATCAGATGTGTGTGTTTGGTTCACAAACGTCTTTATGGCCAAGGCGTGCCCGGCTTACATTAAGGTTACAGGACACCTTTTTGGCGTTTTGTGGAAAATCGCTACCGCGCGCCCAAAATCAGTCTGATTTTCATCAAATTTTCACCAAAGGTTAGCCAGTGCATGCAAAATATGATAAAGTTGCAAAATTGACAAACAATAAAATAATGTAAGAATTATTCAGGAAAATCTTAAATCGCGGTTCCTTTACGCTTTTGAGTTATGTTCCTGCTGGTTTTAAGATATATTTATGAAAATATCATTTTTATACAGTGAAATAGTTGTTCTAAAAAATTGGGTTCGGAAATTTTTGTTTATTTCGTCATTCCGCTGATATGGCGATTACTGTGACGACTGCAATATATTTCTGAATCGTTTGTGTGAATTGCTCCTTATTATTAAAATATCCAAAATTAGAACAAAGCCGAACACAATTTTGAAACTGACGTCTTTAGCTATGTCCTGTGAAAATTTGAGAAAAATTCGTTAAAACCCGCAGGAGCACAACTTGTTTAAAAATCAGTAATTGCCGCAAAATTCTTCGGGAGAAAATTGAATTTGAATATTATATCAATGTTTTTTTCTTATTGCAAGCGAAATGTATTTTATTAAATAACTCTGCGAGTTTTCAACATTTTTCGTCCAAACTTGGTCAGATAGTAGAACTAGTCGAATGCGTTCATTGAAACCAATAAAAAAAATTTAGGCAAAATTAACACTCAAAGGTGTTCTGTAACCTTAAAGAAACGTTGAGGGTAAACTCAGATATCCATAACCGATCAAGTCGTTATGGCTCAATAAACATAGTTTGCCCACGTTTCAATAGAGAAACTGAGGGTGGACGGACATTCTCAGTCAGAATGTCAAGATTATGGAACAGCCTGCCAAACGAACTCCAGTCCATTAATAGTATAAACATTTTTAGGTCATCTCTGAGAACTTTTTATATTGACATTTTAAAGGATATGGGCCATCTTAAAAGACGTATTTTAGACTTCTACTAAACCATTAGTTCTTAAATTCCTACAATGTATATGCATTGAGGGCCCCCTATACTTTTTGCGTGAAGCGTGAAGGGCTTGTTTTACTTAGCCGTGAAACGTGATCAGGCCCCCTATACTTTTTGCGTGAAGCGTGAAGGGCTTATTTTACTTAGCCGTGAAACGTGATCGATGATTTTCTTAATCCGTGACTTGTGAAAAGGCAAAATATTTTTACGTGAAAGCAGATTGTGAAGAGGTATAGGGGGCCCTCTGCATTCTTAGACGCAGCCGTTACCATATTTTTGTATTTATAGCTAGGGTCGCTGGTTCGTCAGTTTCACATGCACTGTCATGCGTTTACCCTCATTGGTAAAGTTGATTGATGACCGCAAATTCAATTTCTCGCTTTAGAACGGACAATTTTATTAACCAGGAGAAAAAGTATAGCGATTCAGGCCAATTTCTTAATCATGCTATTGGCTGTCTGAATAGCTATATAGGGGTTCATCTGAAATTATTATTCCGGAATGGCCCGGCGAGCAATTGAATATTATTCGCGGATATTAACTTTTCTCCCACATACCTGCTAAATTATCTTTGGACACTGTTTTTCTTGGACGTGATCTATATAACACAAGAAACAAGCATGACTCGTCATTGCTGGATAGCTCTATCAGTTGTAAACTGTTCTTCGGCTCCTTTGTTACTACGGGGGAAAACTGGAATCGAAACTGGTATGATTTAGATTTTTCTATCGAAAGTACTTATATAAAATTTAGAAAGATAAAACACGCTTAACTGGAAAGCAGCCTAGAGACATTCACTCAGGGGCGTAGGAAGCATAAAAAAAAACGAGAAAAAAAACTGAAAAAAAACCCTGGAAAATGAAAAAAACATTTTCATTTCCAATCATATCATATTTCGATCGTGCTTAAAAAAATACATCTGCCCAAATTTCGAATTGCAACGTACAATGAACATTTTTTTTTAAAAAACATCGAAATTTCTTATAAATTTCTTTCACTGGATTTACTTAATGTACATGACGCAGAATAGTATAACATAACTAGCTTGTGTAAAAGAGCATTACGTAAGCAAAACAAAAGGAAAAAACAGAAAGGGCACCTTTCATGTTAATACAGTATTATTTACAGCAACATTAGGGAGTTTACGCATGTAAGACGGCAACGTGAGGACGGCGGCTATCAATACAATGTATTGTCATTAATCCTATAGCACAATTGAAATGAATAATTAAAAGTATATCTGGAGTTTCAGACGTCGTCCATGCTCTGTTGACGACGGCAAAATGCATATTTTCACGTCTTGTAAAGTACGCTAGCATTTCAAGCCGTGGCAGGCGATTTTTCTAACAGGGTTGATCAAAATTGCTTTGAAGGTTAAAGCTCTGTTTTACTCGTTCTAAACTGTATTAAATTCATAAGAAAGTAAATACAGGACAACATTTTCATACAATCATTTATTTCAAAAAGTTTGTTTAGCCGTCATCCTGACGCCGCCGTCCTCCCTATTATCGTGTACAAAAGGGCACTTTATGTCCTTTGAAAAAATTGCGGGGGGGGAGGCCGTATGTCCCCTGCGCCCCCCAGTTTCTACGTCCCTGCATTCATTAACGCGAAAGTTGCATTTATGGACGCTATTATCAACTTATAACGATTCGATGCGGATTCCCATATGACTTGCGTTTGAGAAATAAGCGTAACACTTACTTTCCTCTAGTAGTAGATTTTCTGCGCCGCAGATAATAACCAAATAATGCAACGACCGCCAGCAGTACCAATATACCCAACACAATCCCTACAATCGATCCAGCATTTCCTGATCCCCCACTGTCCTCCCTCGCTCCAAATGTGGGGAGCACTTTGCTGCTTCCTCTGCAAGTGTGATGGGTGACAGTGACTGTGATTGGCTCTATGGGGTGGCTGCCCACTCTGTCCTTTCCCTGTCTGGTTGTCTTGAAGCGCTGGTGGTCAGTTTTCAGTTGTTTCGGAGTGGTTTTCTTATTTGGTCGCGTGGGTTCTGGGTGGAAGGTAGGAGGGGGTCTGGATAGAGGCCTGGTTGCCGCTGTCGTCAATAAAGATGAGGAAATATGTTAGACGGCCGGCCAAGTCATCAATTTGTACAACTGGATGGCAACTTTATGTTAGAAGCTGGTAACGGGCATTTTCTTATAGTTCAAGCCTTGGTGAACAAGACTATATGTGTTACCACTTATGATTTTTGCTTTATAGTCAAAAATTTGAGAATTTTTAAATTTTGCCTATTAAATTACTATGATCGGAAAAAAATGTAAAATTTCATGTTCTCTTATACGAAAAATAAACTATACCACTAGAAAGAGCGTAAAAAACTATATATAAGACAATTAAGTGAGTTCTACGTTTTTCCAATCCTATTTCGAGTTTTTAATGTTAAAAAATGCAGAAATGACCAAAATTAATGCTAATTAGTACCCATTTTGCCAACTTTAACCATCTTTAATTCAAAATCGGCTTGAAAATCGCACTAGTCGCTTAATTATCTTATATATAATTTTTTGCGGTCTTTCTAGTGGTATAGTTTATTTTTTGTATAAGAGAACATGAAATTTTACATTTTTTGCCATCATAGTAATTTAATAGGCAAAATTTTAAAATTCGCAATTTTTTGGCTATAAAGCAAAAATCAGAAGTGGTAACACATACAGTCTTATTCACCAAGGCTTGAACTATAAGAAAATGCCTGTTACCAGCTTCTAACATAAAGTTGCCATCAAACTCTCTTTAGAGGCACTTTTTGTCACCTTGGCCGGCCGACTATTTGTCACACCTGACCGGGATGGACATTCTTAATTGCCGACTGATTTTGACCTACAATATGGTATTGAACGGCATAAATGGAAAATATAAACAAAAGATTAAACATTTTAAAATGTTAATTTCAAAATAGAGCTGGAAGAGTATAACGGGAGATACATACGACATTAGATCAAAAGTTCAAAAGATGTTCTCTGCATGTAAATTAGGCTGGAATAATCTCGAAGAAAGGCGTACATGTAATTCTCAAACTATTTCTTATGTTAATAAAGTTCTCCAGAAAAATTGCCCGGAAGGAATAACTGACACGTTTCAGTTTTCCTACAATGATAACCATAATTTAAGAAGTAAAACTTAATGCTCAGGTTGGCCAAACCAAAAACTAATGTAATGAAAAAATCGTTCAGTTATGCCGCCGCCAACATCTGGACCTCATGCACATGAGTATTTCAGAAAGAAACAATGTAACTAAGTTGATTCAATGAATTGATATATATATATATATATATATATATATATATATATATATATATATATATATATATATATATATATATATATATATATATATATATAGTGGGTTATAACATGTTAAATATATTATAGACGTGTAATTGTATATATTGTCCTGCACCGTATTGATATTATTGTAATTTTAGCGTAATCACACGGCCTTTTGAAAAGCAGCATTCCATTTTTCTTAATTTATTATTGCATAATAATAATAATAAAAAATAATAATTAATCGACCTAAAGCCTGGTTTCCATATGGTCGTAGTGGTCGTAAAAATAGAATCACGATCTTTCTCAACAGCCAGTTTATAATAGTTTTTCCTTTAAACCAAATATAACTCATAAGTATTCTCCAGTTATAAGTAGGATTTTCAGTTCTAAAATGTCGTATTTCGGATGATGAGAGCAATCTTTACGACCGTTACGACCATGCATATGGAAACCAGGTTAAACAGACACTATTTAAATTGTAATACAAGGTTTAGGCTGCAGCCTCGTACCTCGTCGCTTCAGTTAGTGCAGTTTGATTAAGCACAGCAAATACAGTAGGCTATTTCGAAGGTATCATGTTTAAACAATGTCATCTCACCGAGGCGGGATATTAAGTGCATGAGATAAAAAAGTCATGTGAACACAATAACTTATCCCACCCAGGTGGGCTAATGAAAAGGCCCTTGAAGGCTTTATGGTCGTTTCGTCCCTTTCACATTTCGTCCCCAACACCGACGTCACCCGAAAATTGGTAGCACTAATTTTGGCGGCAGTTTGCATCATAGCGCTCGTCTAAGGAAGCAAAAAACTTTAAAAATCTTAGGTTTTGTCCTATATGTTGAAGATTATACCACAAACTGACAAAAACACAGTTTTTAATCCAATCCCCCTCGACGAATTGACGTCTGTGTTGACAAAACATTGCAATCTTAAGCTCACTAACCAGATGATCCTGATACGCGGAAAAGTACTGGCACTAATTGTCAAATAGAAATCCATTTTATGATTAAAACAACTGAATATCTCCTGTAATATACTTTATTTCGATTCCATATTTTTGTCAGAGCTATAGTTCTCATAAGCAAACATAATTACAAAATTTCAACTAGTTTCATAACGAATAACGAAAGACATAATTGACTGAATACATCAAAATGGTTTCTATTCGGACAACCCTTTCTGAGCGCTGATTGGCTAAAATACGAACACGAGATCACCTGGAATGGCAGTCATTGGTCTAGTTTTCCTCAAACTCAGTTCCAATTAAAATAAAGTCAAGTCAAGTGTCACTATAATAGTCACTGACAATAGCAATATTAATATAATTGTGAAATAAAAGCAAAATATTTAAGTTACATTTCAAAGTTTCGGAATTTAAATACAAAAAGTGTATTATCCGAGCATACAATCCACTGAGATACAATCTCAAAAAGTAAGATATATTGTATTAAGGAAGTAGGTTATAGATAAAACAGTATCTAGTCTGGGGACGAAACGTGAAGGGGACGAAACGGCAAGGGGACGAAACGACCAGTTACCCCCCTTGAAGAATGGGAAAATGTCACTGAGTCGGAAAACCAAAAGACGGAATTTTTATCTCTTTGACCAAAGAGAGGACGTTATACTTACGTTACAATCTTTTCGCGTGGAATATCATTATTGCAATGTTTTCGAGTACGATAACGTCTCCGTTTCCGTTTCCTGTTGTTTTTTCTTCCCTTCTTCTTCTTTTGTTTCTTACAATGATTTGCTATGCGGCTTGGCCCATACCTGGTAAATAAAACGTAAATTAAATATTTAATTGGTCGCTTATATTGGAAGACGTCTTAACATATGAGACTTCATTATTGAAAAAGCAGAAAATTATTTTTATAAAAGTTTAGATTATTTTCAGATAAAGATTAGATTAGGGTTAGATTAAGATTAGGGTTAAGGTTAGGGCTCAACATGTGTCGCGGATTTATTGTATTGATAATTTACTCATATAGTAAATTCAAAGGTGGTGCTCATGCTGTCTAAAATATATCCGCTATATTGAAACGTCATTGTTGCCATAGCGATAGATTTTTTATTTTTCTACAAGTAGTATGGGGATCAAATCGCAAATTTTCCATTTTTTAAAAAATGTATCGAGCTGTTCGAGCCACGATAAAAGAGCCTGGAAGATTTTAGCTGTGAGGGCTAAATGTAGCAAAACACCGCTGCATAAAACGCGAAGAAATTTACAAAGGAATATAGAAGTAGGGGAAAGTACAGGACGCGAAAAGTGATAATTTAGTGAGTAATATTATAATTCGTATTCGTTATAATAGTAATAATATATATTCGATTGCAATTATCACTGACAAATCAAGACATCAGCCAGGTGAAAGAAAATAGATCACAGTTAAGACCAACAATATGAAGAATGAAAGACAGTTTCCAGATATAATTTTGACCAGTGTCTGGATGAATGACAAACTTTCAGATAAGAAAAAAGCTAATGAATTAAGTGCTTGGTAACAGGTCTGCTGCGCGCTGTGCACTTAACATTAAACAGATGTTCAATAAACCTGTGACCTAAACGCTAATTCTTCCAATGTCAAGCAAACAATATTCACTGCGCATGAATCTATGCTTACTATATATAGGTGGGTTACATATTTATATATGCATTGTACACCGCAGTACAAGAGTATAGGTTTTGCATGTTTTTAGTGAAAAGGTGAGATTCCGATATCGAGATTCCAGAATACAACATTCTTTTCCCAGAAAATGAACGGGTGAGATTAACGAATAAGAGTTTCTTTAGCTGGAATTTTGAAATATTGGTCTAAGATTCTCACAAAGTGCATTCATATTATGTGAGAAATATCGCGTATATTAAGCAATACTCTCGCCTGCATGCCAAATTTGTTAAATTGAATATAAATAACGAATCGAAGAACTAAGGAAGAAGATATATGTATTTTTTGTATGTTCTTTGAGCTCTTCTATAGTTACAAAAACAGACGACAAACTTTCGCAAAAACTTAATTCACAGGTTTCATTGATGATAATAACGTTATCCAATTGCAAAAAGTTTCGATTCGGACTTGATAATTCGTTATATTTATTATTCAATAATTATTATTCAATAATTAATAAATGAAAGGCAAACTGGTGACGACGGATATTAATTATTTGGGCACAGAGCTTGAAGGATTTAATCAATCTGGCAAAACCTACCTTGGCAGTGGATCGCTCGCTTTGAGATGAGTTATGTTGTATCCTTGACTTTGCAAAAGACTAATTATGCTTCTATTTCCAATAAAATGACCTAAAATGAACGAGATGAAAACAACACAATGCAACTTATTGGGACGCGAAATTCGTCCTTTTTACCAGTTGAAGCGGCATCCCGGTTTCAACAACCAGGGACGAAACTACCGGGGGGTGCAGGGGTGTATGATCAAATTACGGTAACAAATTTCATAAATTTGGGGAAAAGCGGGCTTTTATTAATTCTAACTATTAATTATAGCGACTGAAATGTTCGTCCGTCAGGAACGACTTCGGCCACGCCGTTTTGTTCGGGCAAAACAAGCTCACCCCTCCCCCCCCCCCAGCCGTAATACCAAAGTTTCACCCCTATCAACAACCGAGATCCAACCTCAAGCATATTTGTCTATAAAATGCTGCCTATACACGAACGGCGAGAGTATATATTTTAACTTCTACACCGACAGACCCGACATAATTATTGCAGCATGAGCTCCACCTTTGAATTTACTATATGTGTAAATTTACTATAAATTCGCGGCACATTTTGAATTTATCATAATTATAAATTCGCGGCACCTAACACTAACCCTAACCCCAACCACTAACCCCTAACCACTAACCCTAACGTTTTTAACTTTTTGAAAACCTAACTTTTAACTGAAAAACTAACTTTTTTTGACTGAAAAACTCCCCACCGGCCACCACCGCGCCAGTCTTTTAGTGCCATTACATTTATAACAAGAATTCTTGTCTAATGCTTGTGGTTTTATGATTAACTCTATTGATAAATTGAAAACGTGCCGCGAATTTATCATAATGATAAATTCGAACGTTGTTTAAGAATTTACTCATATAGTAAATTCAAAGGTGGAGCTCATGTTGAATTATTGGGCAATTATCCACTGGCGTTCTTTTATCGCGTTGCCCGGATCCCAGTAATGTCCAATTCCCAGTCATTGCATATGGAGACCATTGAACTCAAAACTAGAACTGGATGAAGCATCCTTTTGAATCGAATTCACTGGGCCACATTTAAAGCCAGAATATTTTTAATCAGGAGAGATTTTTAATCTAGACTATCATTTAAGACTAGCTAGACAGTAATTCAAAGTAATTCAGCTATCATTCATATAACTTTCAGAAATTGTTAGAAATTGGGAGAGCGGCGGTTAGCTCAATAAATATTATTTACCCGATTAATTATCGTAATTGTTAATGGCAAAACGAGAAATGTAATATGAACAAATTGGTAAAATATAATTGAACTACCAGGCTGCTGTGGAGCAAAATCCATTCCACTGATGACGTATATTAGGAGAATGATGTAACAATTATATAAGAGAACCTAAACGCTGTAGAATTTCACTGGAATACTTATGGCGAAAGGGCTTGTCGTTTTAAAGAAAGTGCCACCTGAAAATTGTACTGCGTCTGAAATAGAAATATGAGGCACACCTAAAATTATAAAAAAATGATTGGCTCCTGCGGTTTTTCGGGTTGCAAAAGCGCGACTGTTTTATTCCTTCTGTAGCAGCGAACGCACGTCAAAGACCCAAAATTCTCGACTGTTTGAGGCAACAACGCTGATTTCATGAAGGGTACCCACTCGTAACATGAAGGATTTTAGGTAACCTTAAGGTAATTCCGCAGTTTTGCATTGCGCACTTTTACTGCGAACATCTTATAACTTATAATTCCATCCATTATACGTACCGTTTAAAAAAATGTCATTTTATGACAATTTTATGTTACTTCAAAACATCTTTGGTCACATTCGTGCAAAGAATTGCGTTAAAATCAATGTTTTCAAAAAAGGCATACATGGAAAAGTGTAGCTAGGGTTCTGTGTCTGTAGTATATTTATTTACTTGTATTTCACGTTTTAATGCCACAATTCCCTAAAAAGATCGGCGACCCCGTTTTTTAACGGATAATTTATTTCTTTTATGCATTTTACATTTCATATCCGAAATTAAAAGAAAAATCATTTCTGGACTTGAAAAAAAATCCTTTATCAATGCCCCATGTTCTCAAAGAAAGATATGTAAAGAAATGTGGAAAAGACATTAATGGATCAGAATTGTACACGTTAGTAGTTTCATTTTGCTCAAAACACAATATTTTTCAAAAATAATTACAAGATAGGTTTACTAAAGCAAAATCCACGCTAAAAACGTCAATAAATATCGGGCTGTTGTGATTTTGCTGTTACTCGTAATGAGCGTCAAGATGGCGCCATATTGGGGGTAATGGTGGTATATTGTGATTGTCATATGTTCTTAACGAGTTCGGTGACCCCAACTTTTTTGTGTGATTTTACTTTAAGTATATCATAAACTCCATGCCTGGGAAGTTTCAGCACATTCTCATTTCGGGAACAATTACTGCGGAATTACCTTAAAGCCATAAAAAATGTTGATGGTTTGTGCTGAGGGAAGATGTGGTTATTTAAATTTGTTCAAGTAAGCGTAAGATATCTATTCAGAATGTGAAAACATAACGCGAAATTCTCTTTCTCTGTCGTTTATCTTCGTCAAGTAGCAGCCATATTTGTTATGGTAGACACGTCGAGGGTGGAACAAACGCGCGAGCCAATCATATCAAAAGACAAGGAAAGAACAAATTAATTACCCCCCTACCCTTCACCCCCCCCCCCCTTCGGAAAAGATTTGTTGACCGTTATACATTACGAATTCTACGCCATGAAAAAATGAGTGAACCGACGTCATTTATTACAGACTATATTACGAATGTCTAAGAAAAGGGGACGCGTTCCCAAGTCACCCTCCCCCCCCCCCCCATCTCCACCGGACTAGCGCTTGCTTTCAGGACAATCAAGAAATCTAATCAGTATGCATGTGTTTCTTTGATGCAAAGGAGGGGGGTTGAAAAGGAACATTTTAATAAATTTCTTCTTCCTTAGAGACGGGAGGTTTTACGATGAAATAGCTAACCTGCACCAAGAGCGAATATCATGCGTCTCTTTGGTTCTTCATTGACAATTTTTACAATCTTTTTTGCCATTTTTCTGTTTCTCTTAAAGAACAACTCTTCCTTCATGTATTCTTCGAACTCTCTCGTCTGTTCCTTTTGTAAGCTGTTTGTTTCAGAAATGTTCTCAAGGTTGGCAATGCCTGATGTTACTTGTGAAAAGAGAACGTCTTTTAGATTACCACAGTTGTAATGATAGATCAGTTGCTTGGTGGAAAATGGCAGATTTTCTTCGCCGCGACGTATTTTTTCGTGCAATATCAAGGTTTGGTTGAGAGCAAGGATTACCTATATTGAGATGATACAATAATTAAAGTTCTCCGGATTGAAATATACTTTTATTGAGCTTTCGACTCGGTACTTCGAGCCGAACTACCGAGTCGAAAGCTCAATAAAAGTATATTTCAATCCGGAGAACTTTAATTAATTACAATTACAATTACAATTTACATTTTATATACATACATATATATATATATATATATATATATATATATATATATATATATATATATATATATATATATATATATATATATATATATATATATATATATATATACATATATATACTTAACTTCGGTGTTGTTGAGCACTCTGCGGAGTTGTTAATGGGTGACTATTAGCGATAATGCAAATCTCACTTCCCTTGTTATGTGGTTGTTCGAGCACTCTGGCCCCATTACACTCTGCGCATGCCTGGATGCGTCGATACCTTCGTGTTGTACCAAGAGAGAGAGGATATTACACGGCGGCGCGAAGATATGACTTTTTATCTTTGAGTGGTGAAAACAATATTTTACGAACGAGCGCAGCGAGTGGGTAAAATATTGTTTTTAACACGAGAAGATAGAAGTCATATCTTCAAGCCAACGTGTAATGTTCTGTTTATTATATAGTTCCAGGCAAAAATTGTATAAATACTAAAAGTCACGTGATCGAATCTTCACTAGTGAAGATATGGAAAATATGTCACTGTGTATTTCTCAGTATCTCACTCTCTACTATATAATAAATATATGTATATATACTGTGGGTGATGCCAGTATATAGGCGATCTCGCTCGACAGAACTAACAGTTGAAGGAATTTTTTAGGTGGAAATTACGAGCGGAAGATTATATACAAATCTAATTCGGCAGAATCGAACCTGCAGCCATGCATGCGATCCGGCCGCTACGCTCTAAAATCAACTGACTGAGCAATAGAGTCCGGATGTCTAGTTGTAGCCTATATATCATTAAAGGGTGATGCCGGACCGTATTTAGGTATGGGTATATATCCAGAATATTGGACATCTCACTCGGCAGAACTGCTCTTGCATGTTTAGGTCGAAAATTGTATATTTAATCTTCCGCTCGAAATCCCCATCTAGTCTAGGACTTGTATATGAGTTTGTATGCGATTCATTTAGGACAGGCAATCTCAACTGTTTTAGGGTAAAATGACCATGACGGTCAACATGGCATATGTGCGAAAACCGTGGGCCGTGTCGACATAGCTCTAACTTCCGAAAAGGAAAAGCGATAGTCTTTCTGAAGTGCTTATAGTGTTTAGAAGGGTTGCTTTTAGGGGTGGTCATTGGAAGGAAAAATTTGTCTAAGTATAATATTTTACCAGAAATTGACCATGCACCACCCCAGGTAAATTGCTAATTATGCATCAAATAACTAATATGCCTGGCAGAAATTAAATTTTCTTATTTCCTAAAAAATTTACATGGGGGGGTGAATATTTTCACGAAACGTTTGTTCGCCGTTCGCCACCACAGCAACCTAACTAAATATATTGTATGTATTGATGACAAAACTACGCAAATATTTATTGTGTTTATCATCAATCATAAAAATACAATAAATACAATATATTTAGTTAGGTTGCTGTCTGTGCTGTGGTGGCGAACAAACGTTTCGTGAAAATATTCACCCTCCCCCACCCCCCTGTCATGTGCCCACGAGGAGTTTTCACGAAGATTGTGCGTGACTTTCAAATGATTTGTTTTTTATTTTTTATTTTTTATTTTATTTTCAATTTTTCGATTGGGACTATTCTACAATGAAGTATTCTTGGATACTGTAATCTAAATACATATGAAAACGAAGAAGTGGCATTTATCGGACAGAGAAGCGGCGAGCCATTAAAATTGCCGCAATTCGACGAAATATCGAAGGACACTAGCCTCCTCCGCAGGCATCTCACCCGACGAATCGGATGCCTGCCATAAATCGACACAAAAATTTGCACTGCGCATACCGGCTCGCGCATGCAAATTTCGACAAACTCAAACTTAGGGGGAGTAGGAAGGGCTTACGGCAAGGAGCGAAGAAAATTTTGTTTTCAACACGATGGCTTACAAGACGAGTAAAACTGTAAAATTAACGAATAATCCTGGTCTTCAACATTGCAAATACAAAGGGAACTTTGACTAAGGAGCTGAGAACGTTATCGAGAGCCGATGCAGCGATTTACTGGGATTGTTTAGAGACAACGAGTGACTTTGAATTGCAGAGCAGTGAATTCACGTTGTCGTCGATTCATGTCAAGACATTTATCAAGACAAGGTTTCAATTGAAAGTTTATCGTTGATATATACAAATTTCTATTCAAATTGTTGACGACATTTTATATCATAATAAGCTGAAAGTGCAGTGATTTAGTCGAAATTATGACACGAGAAGGAACGATCGAAAATTGTCAATATATAAATGTAAATTCAACTGTTAACATCTGTGCCTGCGTATTAAATATATAAACACCTCTTGCCTTGTTTTATAAATACTTACGCTTGTATGGAAGGAAATCATTAATAAAAGTCTCAAACAAATAGCTTTCTTATTGTGGAATACAATGTGCAATTTATCCCTTGGTCCCAATGGACAAAACCCTGGACAAAACAGTTTTCAAACTTGAGTGTCTCAGATGTGGCGAAAATTAGCAAAAGCTTTCTTAAATCAGTGGCCCTGTTTTATATATGGGTGTGAGTTATGTAGACATAAGGGAAAGGACAACTGGAATTTAATAAGAATCTAATAGTTTTCCATGTGGTGCAACAGGGTATAAAGACCTGTCTTAATAACATTTGCCTTGGATTTGTTAATTAACCATTGGAGACATTACATACATTCCATTTTGCTTGCCAAAGTTCACAGA